ACACAAGAACGTGTACAAAATATTTACAGATAGTTTGGTATATTCTTGGGAAGACTGTTCCTGTAGAATGGGTTGACTTAGTCGCAGTCAGGCAGAGTCTCTGGATTGGATCTCTTCTTCCTCACCGTCTTCCGGTACCAACCCATATTTATATGGTCGGTACTCCACCATGTAAATTAGGTGGATCGTACCACAACAAATATATATATATATATATATATATATATATATATATATATATATATATATATATATTTTTCTGTGCCATGTCCCATCAGGACGTGGTCGATCATCATGGCACTCCACAATGACCTCTCCTTTGTAACTATTGTGATTTTGTGTATCGTTTCATATCTCCTAAAACTTGTTCTGTCACCCCTCTACACAAGTCGTTTAGGTAGGTTATGCGCTCCTTCCATCTGTCACTGTTGCATTCAATAAGCCCTGTGAGTATCAAATTTTTCAGGCCCTCTGTTCTCGACAAAAAAATCCCATCTTTACAAAAATACGTCAATTAAACTTGATCTATAAACTGATTTCCTACAAAGAATATACATTCTATTCATACAAATCTTTCCTAAAAAAAATTCCGCATTGAGTTCGATAGACCGTAAAACAAAATTAACCAAATTGACACAAACCAGGCCCTCTGTCATCAATATGTACAATAAAAATTCTACTGTTTGTTGCTGATGTCATTCACAAGTGTACTTTTTTTCTATTTTCTCTAAAAATTCGGATTCAGTCAACGGTATTCTCAGCATCCTTCTGTAGAACCATATTTCTGTTGCTTCAAGTCTTTATTTAGTCTGCGAGGAGATTGTCGCGCGTTCACTGCCACAGAGGATCCCTGTCATCATGAAATAAGAAGTTAAAAATTAAATTGAAAAAAAGTCTGCTCATTAAGAAAGCTTTTATAATTTTCTTTTTTGTTCCTTGTCACATAGTCGTCCAAAGCATTCTGTCTTTTGTCGCTGTAAGTTTTCGCTATTTACAGTCATTTTTATTTTCTTTGGTCCTAACATCCATTCACGCAAAATCAACTATGTGTCTTACGTATTGTTCGCCCCCCCCATACTTTTATTGACTTCAGTATGTTCAGAAAGTGTTGGACTCTCTGGGATTTCTTTGTATCAGTTTGTGTCACCGAAATTTGAAATGCCCTTTTCCGATTTTACTAATAAGATTCTTTGTTTTTCATTTGCCGTGAAATATATCTTTTTTTTTCCACATATTCCATCCATCATATTCTCTGTCAGACTACTCGCTACCGCTTTCGTCGTCTTCTATAAGAGGATTTCTCCAGCATTCAATATGAGGTCCGATATGACAGAGCAGTTCCTACGTCCTTTCTGTTCCTTTCGAAGGGAAATTTCCTTATTTTCAATATTTTATCTTTTTTTTTTTTTTTGTCTTTCTGGAAGACATAATTTGCTCTGCTTAAGAACCTTCGGTTTTGTGCAACGGTGTGAAAACCCGAGTGATAAAACTTCGTCGTCATAGTCGTGGAGGGGAGCGAAGCGTTATTGGCGCGGAAAATGTATATGGCGATTCGAATCAAAATTCAGCATCTTTCCCTTTTGCAGAAACATTTTTGGGAAAGATACTAATCATCTGTTCTATCCTCATGGGATCTCTAGCTTCGGTTGGCAGCGAATATGGAAGGGAAATTGAATTCAAACCGGTTGGTTGTAAGTCTAGCAAGTTTTAGTATGTAAAAGCCCTACTTGCTACAGAATCCACGGATTCAACAGATAGCATGCTGAGCCTATCAACTTATACACCACAAGGAAGTACACAATGTTATCATAGTTGTAGTGGTACTTATAGTAGTAGTAATAATTGTAGAAGTAGTAACCGCAGTAATTGTAGTACTAATACTACTACTAATAGAAATAATAAAATTTTTGGAACCACTATGAAAAAATCTCTTTCTATCTATCTATCTATCTATCTATCTATCTATCTATATATATATATATATATATATATATATATATATATATATATACATTTTATTCGAAAATTATAACAGAAAAATGTTATAAAAATCACTCAAATATAGCCATTTATAATGATTTTATAATATGTTTATCTTATAATTTTAAAATTAATTATATTTGCTCTACTCTGTATTGAGCACGTTTTTTAAGAATAGTATTTTTGTTATTAAATTTGTTCCGTATACACCAATCTTAAACTTAAGATAAGTCATATATATATATATATATATATATATATATATATATATATATATATATATATAATATATCAATTCATATGTTTCATTATTGATCTCTAAGTTAATAAAGTGAAATAAAGTTGATTGAGATTTTTTATCTCTGTTCTTAATCTTATCCTGAAATAATACGTGTGATTGATGTGTGTTGTGTGTGTGTGTTGTGTGTGTGTGTGTGTGTGTGTGTGTGTGTGTGAATATTTTTGTTCGATTCGATTTATTTACGAGCTAGAAAATACTTTTTAGATCATAAGAATTGGGGTGGAGAGATGTTAATGTTTTACTGGTGCAATTTCTACTAGCTGCGGGAATGCGAGGAGAGCTAGAATCATAAGTTCTCTAGTTTAATTTAATATAAAGAAGTCGACCGAAATTATAACTCGATTCTCCCTATGTTTTACTCGAATCGGTATCCATTATATTAACCATACATCCAAGCTTACGGCACCTGGTATTCCCAAACGGTCATCCAGCTATGCATTGACTAGGGACATCGTTGCTTAACTTTGACAATCGCATAAGAAGCAGTATACACACACACACACACACACACACACACACACACATATATATATATATATATATATATATATATATATATATATGTATATATTGGTTTGGTTTATTTATGATATATCAACTTCAATATGTTATTTAATTCTGACAAAACTTTTAGAAGTAGTAATATTATTACCCCAAAAAGTATTCCTGAAAATATTTATTTTCTTCTGAAATGTATTGCTGTCTATAACGTGCCCATAGTTTGACCCTAACAAGTGCTACCACCACAGATTTTGGTGGACATGGGAACACCAGCAATTAAGATCTCTTGACCAGAGGCCATGCAGTTGGATGTAGTTTATAAGATATATATATATATATATATATATATATATATATATATATATATATATATATATATATATATATATTAGTACAGGTAATCAATCTGTTGGTATATAATCCGGGTGGAATCTAGTAATATTAATGTCTTGGAGCATTGTTTTAAATTTATTTTCAATGTCATGTATATTCAATTCGTTATATATATATATATATATATATATATATATATATATATATATATATATAGAGAGAGAGAGAGAGATAGTTGGATTGACGTGTGTTTGTAACCCTGAGATTCACGCTATTTTCGATCGTCAGACAAACCCAGGATCACAAACTCACACCAATCCAACTAAATATGTTAACTCTATCACTGATATTGAGTGTTTTCCAATAAGGAGAGCGCAAATATAATATAATATATAAATAATGTATATATATATATATATATATATATATATATATCCATACATCTTACACATTATACATATATATATATATATATATATATATATATACATTTTACATTATATATATATATATATATATATATATATATATATATATATTTTATTTATATATATATATATTTATATATATTATATATATATATATATACATATTATATACAAACACATTTATATATTATATATATATATATATATATATATATATATATATATATATATATATAAGTAGCCAAGAAATTATGCTCTCTCTAGACGGGTTTGTAACCATTTTAGTCAGAGTAGACAATTCTGAATTCTAAAGCGCATGTTAACATGGCGAAGCGCATACTTTGTACACATATAAATGTTCGTCTAATACATATTGTTACTATTATCTTGACTGGGTCATCTGATAGATTTATAATGCTTGACTTATTTTTGCCAAAAAATAAATTTTATGCAGCACTCCGTGAGGATTGAACTCATTGTTTAATAGCAATGGCGAACATATAGAAAGAATAGTATATTTTAAAAACGATTTCTTAAAAATCAAAGAGAATTATGGCTAAAATATTAGATTTCTTGTAATTTTTTTATCTGTAACTTCTTTCTTTTTATTCAATCTTTAGTTACGCTGCAGGACGTGAACGATCCTGTTTCTCCACAATTCCTATTCTTTGTAGCTTTGAGTAGTTTTTCTTTTCTTACCATCTGTCTAACCCGCCGTTCGACCGTCCATTTACAAACGCTCGTCAGGTAGGTGTCTCGCTGCTTTATCCGGTCCGTTTTTTCTTCGAAATGCCGTGTGGGTGTCAAATTTTCCATTCCCTCCTTCTTAAATATGTGTCCCAGGAGTTTCAACTATCTCTTCTATAAACCTGAAAACTCAGCTATAAAAAAATAATAAAATTCTGTTAGAAATTGTAAGAAATATATACTTCGCTATCAGACACTATTTATTATCTAAGATTAGAAAATTTATATGTGACGAAAGCTTAACAGAATTCTAAGAGAAAACGCCGGCCGTCTTCCTGAAGTATAAACATAATATAACGGAAATACAAAAAAAAAAAGGAAAATAAAACGACTTCCCTGTTTTAATTTCTGTCTAATAAAAAGAAATACGTAGAAATAAAACCGCGTATACGTTATATAATTATGGTTTATTTTCTACCGATCTAATTTCCCAAAGACAGAAGCTTCTAGAGAACAGAACGTAACAATTTCTTTTTCTTAGTTAATTGTGACCTTTTGAATTCGTGATGAAAATTCATGAGTAATAGAAAAAAGAGTCACAACTTAAAAAAATTAATATTAACGACGAACGCCTGATGCTGTTAAAAAAATAAACTTACAAATTTTACGTGATTCGAATCCTTTGAAAGCTTATTTTTTGGTATAATGAAGCATGAGCCCTATAATGTTGGATCATTAAGTCAGAAAGAAAGAAAGCAGATATCAATTTTATGTATCTATTATTTCAGCTACAGTAAACGTTAAATACAATTTAAGTATATGGTTCTTTTTTCTTCATTTTCCATTAAAATTTCTTTGCAAGTTTTGATCCCGTCCATATTCTTCTCATTTTAAACGTCTTTTCTTATTTGATTTTCTAATATAAAATGTTTTACTATTTTCAGGAATATTTTGATTTCCTGTTCTTTAAAATGTATCGATTATTTATCTATATATATATATTTTCATCTGTTAAATTTATTCTGACTTTTTTGGCGTCATATTTTCATTCACTTCTTTCTCTATTCCCTTTGAAACTGTCGATCTTTATTTGATAAAAAATAAATATATTTTTTCATTTTGTTTAGATTTCATTCTATCGTTTCAATTTTACCCGACAATTTAAACCTGCTCTCGAAAATGACCTGCAACCAGTGGTTGACTGAGGCAGGAAATGGCTGGTAAATTGTATTGCCTCGAAAACAAAACTTTTAATTTAATTACAGCGACTGCTATAACATGGCTGGTGCAAGACTCTATATGAGCAACACTCTAAACCTTCTTGGGCTCATGCTTTCCATTCAAATGATTTAGAACGACTCTATCAGATCAATTGCTAGGTTTAATTCTAGGAAATTTAGTTCACAATCTTGTACCAGAAAAATCTTTCTCGTCAGAATCAATTTTTCTATTTTGCACGTTTATAATTCTATTATTCGTCCATACATTGAATATTGCTGCAATATATCAAGTCTGGCCCTTCTGCTGTATATTTCGAGATCCTTAACAAAATTCAAAGAGGCTGTGATATAATAGCTCCTTATATGTCATCTCGACTTTTTGTCACTTTCTTACCAGCGTAATATGGTTTCCCTCTGTCTGTTTCTACATATATCTTCATGGCAGTTGTTCTAATGACCTTTTTTTCATTCATGCCTCGACTGTATTAATTTAAGCGTGCTACTAGTTTGGCATCTAGGTCTCAGTATCTTAATTTGTACTAGCTATACGTAAACATGACTTGTATTATAACAGCTACTTTTCTCGCACTTCTTACCTGTGGGGCTCCCTTTCAGATTTCTAGCTACTCTGCCACCTATAATCTTCAAATATATCTAATGTATTTTCAATAGCAATCTTATTTCTTCCTGAACCCTGTTCACTTATTATCCTTTCTCTTCACTTCTCGTCGTTAAAGTCTTCTCATTCTCTTTCACCCCACTTTCATCCTCTTGACTTTAGCGTCTTGCTTGTGGTAAAATGAAAATGAAATGGTTTCAAAAATAGTTATAGAATGTCCTTAGCTTATTCTACCCCTGGCAGCTTGGATTCCAAGAGTGAAATCATATCTGGAAAACGTTCAAAGCGAAAAGATGATTCGATGATTTTCGACAAACTGGTTTACTTTTATTATTTTTAGTCTTGCTTCCATAAGAAATTTTAAGATAAAAACAAATTCCAAATAATGTTACTGTCCATCGACTAAGGCAATAAAAGCTATCGGAAGATGGCGAAGACTACAACATAATGTGGCCTCGGGTTTGCCCCTCGGAATTGCATACAGGATATTCTATCCATGCGCGACTTGGCTGTTCAAAAACCCCGGTATTACGTGTTGGTTGGCCAGAGAAACCTCTTTAACCACTACCATATAATTCGCTATTCTTGCTTTAAGTCAGGATGAAGCAAACTGATTACTGCCATCCCGCTACGCACAAAAGGACAAGTTGCAGCCACCAATCAGTTGTATCACCAAAATGGAAACTTACGTTCATTAAAGCCTCGGAAGATGAACTTGGAAACCACATATTAAACAGGAAAAAGAGACAAAGCTCTACTACACCTGTTTAGCAGAAATAAAAGTAATGTGAATCGTGCGAGAGCTGAACGTAACTACTTCTAGTAGCCTGCTTAGAGCACAGGTATCTAGGCGCCTTTATCAAGCCGCCATCTCTAGGAAGTTAGCCAACAAGGTAAAGACCCCAGCATTAAATGGGTATTTAATGAAACTGTGAGCGTTACGTATGAACTGAATATCAGTGAATTTAACGTATGAACTGAATATCAGTGAATTCATGTGAGATTCTATTTCATACTTTTTGTTAAAGTTAAAATTAGCTAACTGTTTCATCATAATATTTTAACTTAGTATAATTTAACGAAACTTAAATGTCAGAAAGAAGCTGCCTTATCTCTAGCAAAAAATCTGTTTAAAAAATCACATAAATAAATAAATAAGAAATCACAGAAGAGACTTGCCACATGCATATAAGTAAGAGGCTCTTCCATTTGGTCAAAAGTCTCATCTTTTAGCGGAATTACTTGACTTAAAGATCAGAATTCTATATACTGGCTAATAAGTTGAGGGCAAACGGTGACTATCGTCTTTAATGGGAAATACCTGGCTATTTCAACAGACAACGCAAACAATCGCCTTTAATCTTTTATGCTTTTTTTTGTCCTTATGTTCGGCATTTAATTTTGCAGGTATTGTTTCTTTTATTCAATCAACTGTTTTTATCTCTCCCATATATACCGCCCATATTTCTTTCTTGTTGTTCTTTTATTGGATCACCCCCACCTTTTCTTTCTTTCTTTCTTTCTTTCTTTCTTTCTTTCTTTCTTTCTTTCTTTCTTTGGAACAGTGTTGCTTTCTTTCCCATACTTATCTATGTTTCTTTCTCTCTTTCTATTGGCCCAGTTTACTTTCATTCAGTAATTCTTTTGAGCATTTATAATTTTATGTTCTTTCGCTTCATTTTTGCGCCTGCCTCCAGTAATTGTTTTTTTTATTTCGTATGTTGTCTCCTATAAACATTTATTTATTTTTGTCATACATATCTTGCTTTCTTTCTTTCATTCTTTTTTTTTTATTTGTTTCTTTTTTGTACGCTATCATCATTCCTTTTTTTCTGTCTGATAAATCGTACATTTCTTTCTTTTTTGAATTACGGCCTATATTTCGTTCTTTATTTATGTCCAATAAGCATTACCTTCTTTATTTTCGTCACATATTCCGTACTTTTATTCTTTCTTTATTTCTTGCTTTATTTCTGTATTTACTGTTCTTTCTTTCTTGAGCCCACATTTCTACGTTTATTTTTATCTGATAAACCCTACTTTTTTCTTTCTTTTTTTCTTTTTTCTTTCTTTCTATGTCTTTCTTTCTATATTTCTTTCTTTCTTTCTTTCTTACGTACCCACTTTCTTCCTTTTATTTCTGTCTAATAAGCCCTACATTTCTTTCTTTCTTTAATTATTTATTTATTTCTGTCATATATACCTCTCGTCCTTTTTTTTTATCTATCTTTCTATCTATCTTCTATCTTCTATCTATCTATCTTTTCTTTCTTTCTTTCTTTCTTACGTACCCACTTTCTTCCTTTTATTTCTGTCTAATAAGCCCTACATTTCTTTCTTTCTTTAATTATTTATTTATTTCTGTCATATATGCCTCTCGTCCTTTTTTTCTATCTATCTATCTATCTATCTATCTATCTATCTATCTATCTTTCTTTCTTTCTTTCTTTCTTACGTACCCACTTTCTTCCTTTTATTTCTGTCTAATAAACCCTACATTTCTTTCTTTCTTTTCTTTATTTATTTATTTCTGTCATTTTTCCTTTTTTTATCTTTATCATTATTTATTTCTATCTATCTATCTATCTATATCTATCTATCTATCTTTCTTTTTCTTTTCTTTCCTTTTCTTTCTTTCGTTTTCTTCCTTTTATTTCTGTCTAATAAACCCTACATTTCTTTCTTTCTTTATTATTTATTTATTTCTGTCATCCTCTCGTCCTTCTATCTATCTATCTATCTTCTATCTTCTATTTCTTTTTCTTTCTTTCTTTCTTACGTACTCACTTTCTTCCTTTTATTTCTGTCTAATAAGCCCTACATTTCTTTCTTTCTTTAATTATTTATTTATTTCTGTCATATATGCCTCTCGTCCTTTTTTTCTATCTATCTATCTATCTATCTATCTATCTATCTATCTATCTATCTATCTATCTATCTATCTATCTTTCTTTCTTTCTTTCTTTCTTTCTTTCTTACGTACCCACTTTCTTCCTTTTATTTCTGTCTAATAAGCCCTACATTTCTTTCTTTCTTTAATTATTTATTTATTTCTGTCATATATGCCTCTCGTCCTTTTTTCTTCTATCTTCTATCTATCTATCTATCTTTCTTTCTTTCTTTCTTTCTTTCTACATATTTCTTCCTTTTATTTCATCTAATAAACCCTACATTTTCTTTCTTTCTTTCTTTTAATTATTTATTTTTTTTCTCTCAGATATGCCTCTCGTCCTTTCTTTCTTTCTATCTATCTGTCTTTCTTTCTTTCTTTCTTACGTACCCACTTTCTTCCTTTTATTTCTGTCTAATAAGTCCTACGTTTCTTTCTTTTTTTCTTTAATTATTTATTTATTTCTGTCATATATACCTCACGTCCTTTCTTTCTTTGTTTGTTTGTTTGTTTCTTTCTTCCTTTCTTTCTTCCTGTCTTATGCGCCTTTTCATTCTTTTGCCACATATTTCTTTAAGTTTTCATTCTTTTTCTTTCTTTTTTCTTCATTCTTTCTTTTTTTCTTACTTACGCGCTAACTTTTTTCTTTAATTTCTGTCTAATAAGCCCTACATTTATTTTTCTCTTCATGATATTTCATATTTAAAACTACACATTTCAGCAACTATACGTTTAAAATCTATATAAACACTCGGTATAGTTAGCAGTATTTATAGTCAATATTTTCAAATAAACACTTAATATCCTCATATCGTTACAATATTTACACCCACGGACTGAACATTAAATATTTATGGAATCAAATGAACTTCTACCGGTAACGATGACACTACACCATTTTGAAATTTCTAAAATCGTTTGCGCTGCAAAGAGATTATTCACTTTTATAAGGCTATAAATTATTTCTATACATTATGATTTTGATCTCTACATTTTAAACTTTAAAGTATAAGTTTAATCTCTATATAAACACTTGACAATATTACCAGTATTTCTATTCAACATGCTCAAATAAAGATGTAACCTCATAACAATATATACTCTTCCCTTCAGTAAAAGATTTTTGATTAGTTAGTTAATCATGCATTATAGGTCGACCTGGGAAAATGTAGGAACATATTGTAGTTTTATCTTCAGGCCAAATCTATTTATTCTATATAATTGTATAAAAAAAGTTGTTAACATATTATCCACTTATCAACTGATCAATGAAAGAATTTCGCAGAAAACAAGCTCATCTATCATGACTTCCCACTCCTATCATGACGACCTAATTCTCTTTAAGATGTTCGGGCGATTAATCACAATTTTACCAGCAATTGTTTCTTGTCAATTTGATATTTTGTGGTTGGCAGGTCGTTGTTGTTAGATTTCTGTTGCTTCCATCGAAAAGGAAAGGGAAGTCTTGCTTTCAAATGACGGTCATTTTTTTCGCGTTTATCATTATTATTATTATTATTATTATTATTATTATTATTATTATTATTATTATTATCTGTCGCTCGCTACAGCGCTCAGGTTTTGATACCGGTTTTCGAAATGATTATTAATAATTGCTTATCGAGACAACAGAAAAGGAAAAATCTTTTTTCAAGTGAACTACATTGTGTACAGAAATATGATCGGTAAAAGCTTTTTTTACAGATAGGTTTCAAGGAAAATTTAAACAAATACGTATATACATGCATGAAAAAAGAATTTCTTAAAATGAATGTTTAAGCACCAATGTTCCCATTTTCTTGACGAAAAAATTATCTCTGCTGGGTGAGTGGTTTCCATTACACTCATTATCCTATATTATATCATATTTATATATATATATATATATATATATATATATATATATATATTTATATATATTATAATATATATATATATCATATATATACTTTATATATATATATATATATATATATATATAATATATATATATCATATATATATATATATATCATATATATATATATATATATATATATACATATATATATATGTATATATCATATATATACATATATAAATCAGCAAAATTATATATATCATATAAAAGAAAAAATCTAGAAAAACTAAAAGATTTTCCCCATTATATTTCTCGGACTTTGCAAGAAAATGGACTTAATACCAAAAGGATTCCGATTTAAATACAATTTCCAACATAGTTTTATTACATTGCAAAACAAAAGCCCAACATATATACAACAGAACCTCCATACAATTAAGAAATCTTGCGCACAACACTACTTACATTAAAAATCTTTTTACATGAACTTATCTAAAAAAAATCAGTTATTCTCTCTACCTAACACTTTCTCCGTTTCATACTCTCAATAAAAAGCACTCAATTTCCTGTACCAAAAAAACTGACACAGTGTATATTTTTGAAAACCAAAAACTCAATAAACTAATTGCTGAGGACCCCATTTTACAACACATAACTTACCTGAAAGATTATTTAATACAACAGATCCCGAAGATCTCATTGTGTTCACTACACCAATACTACCTCTGCTGACAACCACATCGCTAACCTATCTAAATACACTCTCACCCAAGGAAACCTCTATTAAATAAAGGATTATCTTCCCCTCACAACCTAAAAAAACCTTTGCTACGATATGGAAAAATACCTTCGTAGACTGAGACTAAAAATATTTCTCAGACAACAAACCTACTTCTAATACAGACAACAACGCTAACCAATCATGCTCCAAACTTCCTCCGACGAAGAACAATATATGGACCCCCACCAAGCGGACGTAACCAACACTTGATCAATATGCCCACAAAGCCAGACAACACATGGATTACTTCTTAAAAACAAAAGGACACAGATAAAAAAATACAACTTATCAAAATAGAACACCAACTCTATACTCTTTTAAAAACAACCGAGACATAATTATCGTACCAGCCGACAAGGCGGAGCTATAACCATCTTTAGACACTAACCACTACATTAAAAGAAGCAGAATCACAACTTCAAAATTTCTATGTACCTTACCTCTAGACCCAACTGTTCAAACAGAATTATCACTTCTCACTCAGAACCTGAACTACAACATAAAAAATACCATAAAATCTCTTATTCCTGAAACCCAAACAGCAACATTCTACACTATCCCAAAACACATAAACTCCCCAAAATCATTTCAGAAAACACCTAACACTTTTCTAATCCGACCCACATCAAATTACACAATCAAATAATGAAGAGAACATCTATGAAATTTCAAAAACCCTTAAAATCATGCCACCTGGTAGACCCATAATATCAGGCATTGGCACCCTCACAGAACTTATATCTGGGTACATAGACAATATCCTAAAAAACCTTTTATTGCCTGACATACCTAGTTATATTAGAGACCTACTGACTTTCTCAAACAAAACAAAACATTAACTTAACGGATACAATCCTTGTAACGATGGATGTTTCAGTCTTTTTTACGAACATTCCACATGTTGAAGGAGTATCAGCTTGCTATGAGTTCCTTAGTAACAAAAAAAACTAACTACCAAATTACAGATATATGCCAATTAATAAAGTTCATCTTAACACATAATAATTTTAAATACAACAACAAACACTATTTACAGATTAGTGGCACAGCAATGGGCACAAAATTAATATCTTTATGCACATTCTAGAAAGAAGATACTAGACAATTCGGAATATAAACCATCACATTACTTTAGATATATTGATGACATTTTCTTATTATGGACTCATGGATCAGAAAAAATTAAAAACCTTTTCACTTTCTGCAACAATTTCCACGATACAATTAAATTTACCATGGAGCACTCAACATCCATCCCTTTCTTAGACGTTATGATAAAATTAAACAAACATACACTTTCTACCAGTCTATTAAATTCCTGCACTTTAACAGCTGTCATCCCTTTAAATTAAAAAAAATCTATTACAGCTCATTTCTTAGAACCAAACGCATATGCTCAGACCATTTAGATTTTCTATACAATATTAATAACTTAACAAAACAATTCCTAAAATGCAAATACCCAATAAAAATAATAAAAAAGAAGCACTAAATAAAACTATCCTGATAAATCGTAACACACTTCTCACATACAAGAAAAATAAAAACAACAATCAGTTCCCATGGTTTTAACCACAATCAATATTCCACACTTATTCACAATTTAAAAAATGATTACAAGAACATCCAATTGAACAACAAGATCAAAAGACATTTCGATAAACCACCCATAAATGCAATGAAACAATCACCTAACTTATCAGCTATCCTCACCTCTACCAAATATCTAAACAATAGAAACCAAACAGGAATTTAAAATGTAACAAACCTCGTTGCTTAGTTTGCAAACATTTAGTAATAGCTAATACATTTTACGTACCCAACACCAATATCAGGATACAGCCACCTAACCTCATGCGATACCCATAACGTAATCTATTATTTATTCTGCAACTTATGCCCTAATAGTGGATATATATTGGTGAGTCTGGAAACAATTTTAGATTTCGTTTTAATAACCATAAACAAACAATACGTCAAAAACAACCCTTATTCCCCATAGCTAAACACTACAATCAATCAGGACACACATTAGAAAACTGCAAATGTTTATTAATAGATTCCGATTTTACTTCCATTTCACACGCAGAAAAAAATATATTGATTTTAAAATTAAATACACATAAATTAGGGTTGAATAGGGACTAGGGTTTTTAAATCTTTTATAAATATTTCAATAGCTAAGCAATTTCTTTAGATATAGTAAAAAATATTTTTAAAATATTTATGACAGTTAGATTTAAGTTAGAATATCTGAACAGTGACGTTCCATATCACGTGACGTCCGCGTCTCGAAGGACGCTACTTGCCAACAAACAATTTTAATTTATTTTTTTTCTGATGAAAAATTGATTTGAAATATCAAATATATATAAATAAATAAATAAATCATAAAAAAACATTGAATTTTTAAATTTGAAACTTTTCTATATATATATATATATATATATATATATCATATATAAATATATATATATATATATATATATATATATATATATATATATATATATATATATATATACCATATATATATATATATATATATATATATATATATATATCTATATATATATATATATATATATATCATATATATATATATATATATCATATATATATATATATATATATATATATATATATATAT